ACAGTTTAGTAATATATGAAAGTATAACTGAATGAAATTAGACTGTAATAGTCAGATCAGGTAGAAATACTTCCAGAGTATCAGAGCAACATCACAACACATTTTTGCAGTTTGTTTTTCATGTGGTGGTTTTTTTGGGGACTGGGTCCATCAATGAGGGCAAAAGCTTGCAATCTAATTCCTCCATCCTGTCTCCTCTTGCACTCTACAGCTCAGAGCTACTTGTGCTTTCTGTCTGGTTACCATTTAAATCTGAAATACTTTTTTCTTCAGTAAAAAGCTAAAACAGCCCGCAGTCAGAAACACATGGCTGTGATGTCCCACCAGAGTATCGAATCTGAGGCCTAGATAAGACTCACTGGCCCATATTTCCCTCTCTCTCTCTCTCTCTGTCTTTCTTTTCTCCACCCCCTTCCTCTCTATTTGTCAATGCAGCTCAGCATAATGCATTTCCAGAGTCAAAGCATACAAGTCCTGTTTAACGCTGATATAAAGCACAGGCCCAGTCCATCAGCATGACATAATAACCTAATGCCACAGGCCAGAAGCATCATGACCATTCAAACTTGAGTGGGGCACCAAAAAACAAATGTCTAAGCTGCCCTTTACCATACAATGAAAATGCATAATAAGCAGAAATAAGAAACTTTTTTCTTATTAAATACAAATAAATAACAATTTTATATATACTGTATATATATCGTTGTAAATAACTAATAAGATAAATCGCCTTACAGTGGGATCAATCTGATTAAACCAGCATCACTAAAGGCACAGCTTTTAAGGCACAGATGGGCCAAATGCACTGTATTCAATAAGGCTTATGTTACTTCCCTTCTATATCCCGTATATGAACACTAGACAACTCTAATTGAATCTAAAGCTGGGTGTGACGAGAGGGGCGGGGCCGAGAGCCGTGGGAACGGAGCGAGGCCGGTGGAGTAATTGCTAATGCGCGACACCTGCGCCACTCACCGGTCTCGAGTCTCACGGAGGAGCTCCGGAAGGATAAAGGAGGAGTGACTACAGTGTCGGAGGAGAGAGGACCATGCCTGGAGTTTATTTTGTGTTTTGGTTTCGTTTGTGCGCGACAGTCGTAAATTATCTAAATGTCAAAAAAAATTACAAAAATATTAATAAAATCCAGGCCTGGTCCTCTCTCGTCACACTGGGCAATGTTTTGTGTTCTTTTGGCACACAGCCAGTGAAGGGGAGATGATGAATTAACATTGCTGAAATTCAAATCCAATAAGACTAGTTTTGCAGTGTTTTTAAAGCAGTTTAGCCCACAACTGAATTCTCCTTACACCCTGTTTATTACCAAACATACGATTCTCTGTATTCAGCTGCCAAGTGTGTAGTCTCTGATTTACTTTTTCCAACACAACGGATACATTTCAAGAGATGACTGCATCTATATCAGATGCGCAGGATGGATGGAGGGAAAGCTATAGTCTGTTTCCTGCAATAGTTACACAAAGACAGCTCCATGGCTATGGGGAATTATTGAGGTGTGGAAAGAGGACAATATTAGAGAGTTTGTGTGTAATAAAGATGACAGGCTGTTCAAAAGCAGGTCATCCTGCACTCAGGCATTTTACACAATTTTGGTATTTTTTGATTCCTTAATTGCACACAAAGTATAAAGGTACTTTGCTTCAGTTGCTCTCTCCTTCCTTATGTTTTCTATTGAAATAAATTAAACCAAAGTCAACTGCTGCATTTCAGTTCAACTACTTATACTATGCCATAAAAGTGCATACTCTTTTGGTGAATAAAATAAACATTTTAGAGAGTACAGCAGAAGAGTACACAATTTTCGGGACATACTACCACATCACATTTGTGTCATTAATGGACCACTCTGTTGCATAGTTACATGGCCAGTCAAACAACTTATCACAGTTAATATCCTCTTATACACACTCCACATTTCAGTTCATTTAATTTACTCAAGTCAACTATTCTTACCAGATTGAACAGAAAAAAACAGCATGTTGATCTGCCAGTTGGGGGTCCTCCATGTGAAGAACTTTCCTTGTGTTTTTGCATAATAATGCATTTGAAAGTTAATGGCTCAGCTATCTTTATAAAAGTTCACAATATTTTTGCAGATGCAATTTTTCATCAAGTTAGATATTATTAATCACTAAATCCGGTTCACCTAAAACTCTCTCTTAACCACTGGTCTCACACATCTGCCCTGTTTGTGGTTTTTCTGTTTGTGTCTGTAGTTCTCAACCGAATCGTCCAATTTTCCAAAGTACAGTGGGTTGTGGGCAATATTAGCCACTAGAGCTATCTGCACTTCGAATTTCCACCGAAAATAGTAGACCATCTGGGTATTTCTGGGATATTCATTTCAACATTATTTGGGAAAAACTAATTCTAATTTTGAATATTATTTAGGATAAAAAAAATCTTGAGATAGCCTTGAATAATGCCTATAACCACAGCGAAGGACAACTATAGATTTTGTATTGCACATTTATTTTTTATTATAAACTGTTTTGGCAAACTCCAGTTTTTTTTATCCACTCTGACTTCCCAAAACCAGATAATTTTTAAAAAGTCCATTTCTCATAAGCATTTTTCAAAGGTTGACAGCCCTAACATTATCAGATCCACAGCAATATATGTGTGCCCCATGTCATATGTACAATACTGTGCAAAAGTGTAGCCACTTATGAAATAATGCCATTATTTTTTTTATATTTCTATTAAGTTGCTATGAACTAATCAAATCAATATTTGGTGTGATAAACTTTGCCTTTCACTGCTTTTTACACAAGGAATTTGCAAAAGGAACATTTGGTAAACTAAAAACTCTCAACTGACACTTAGTGTAGACTTAGTGACACTTATCAGAAGAAAATAAATATTTTTTGTGAAACTTTTAGACAGTATTGTATGTCAGTGACACTGCAGAAAGCAGTGACTGCAGTACCGTTCATTCTATCCAACGCACCTGCTGTCAGACTTTGTTTGCAAGTCCTAAAAATTTTAGACAGTCACTTCATTGTAGAAACCAGTTGTTACTCTGACAACTAACTGAATTCTGTGTGAACACAACCATATTTAGCTCTCTAAAACAGGACTGACAAGTGTTTTCTGCTGCGGTGTAAAAGCAGCCTCTGTGTTACAGCCCTCACCCTTCTTTGTCTGTCATCTGTCATCTAGTTTAACAGTTTGTGGAAACTATACAAAGATCAGGGGCTCAAATTTACCCCTAAAGCTTTTAAACTCCCACAGATTTTGAGCAGAACAGCTCATCATTACTGGGCAATCTCTTCTCCACAACCAAATACCTCCAATCACACCCTCCTTTCTGCACAGATAATGGCCATAAATGAAAGCAATTCATACGCCTCAGTGCAGTATGAGATTGAGTGGGTGTTTGAGGTTGATCAATAGGGTCTGCTCCACCCCTAGCACTCACTCAGTTGTGTACTGTATATACAGGCTAACTGAACCCTGCAATCGTTACATCTGCCTCCTAAACTTCAGCTCTAATGTATTCTCTTAGCATTGGGTTCAAGCAGCACCGATTTAAAACAGTTCCAGCTCATGGAGGGAAAATGTGTCTCTTTAATGTAGACTAAACCAGTGTGTTTTTTCAACTAGAAGCATTTTTACATTTTATGGGTGGATTATAATTAAAAATAAGAAATGTATGTTTCTTATGCAAGTAAATGTCAAGTTATGTCATGAAACTCTACATGGGTCTTTAACGCAAACTGATGATTTTCACAGCATTAAACTACTTGACACAAGTTGATTGGTTCATGTTGTATTCGCAGCCAAGTAACTTGCTGCTTTACATTTAACTGGCTGGCTAGCATTAGAGCAGTTCACGGCGCGCTTTCAGAGTTCCTCTGAAACCCTCCACCTTCCTCAGCTCCACCTGTATAGATCTGCTACGGGTTATTTTATACGCTATTTGTGCAGCAGCAGTATATCTTAAATACTCACAGCACCGTATGTATAGGCATTAGCAAGTTCCTGTACTTGCTTTGCAGCAGCAGCAATAATCTACTGCAACAGCAATAACCAACAACAGCAGCGTAGCAGATCTATTCCACCAAGACCAAATACATTAACATTGTCATATCCATTACCATGCTAAAATTTTCCAAGTTGTCATGATAGAACTATGACTACACAAGATATACAGTATATAATATATATACTGTATATATAT